AGATGTTAGAACAGTGAATATACCATAATCATAATGCCACTGCTGCCACAAATTTGAATGAATTCCACCCGAATTTGCATCAGGGGCAGCTGAATTCGACTCTAACCCTTCCAATGGTTTAACATTATTAACACTCCTTTTGCTAGTTCTCCTGCTCCTCTCACGTTGTTTGAGGAGGATAGCATCCAAATGTGAATGATAATGAATGAGTCTCCCTTTAGCTGCACATGAATCCAACAGACTCTGCTCTAATTCATTGCCACCAATAGCCTCATCGCATATTCGAGCAAGGCGAAGCCCAAGCTCCATCATGCAAAACCCTAGCTCCCGGAAAGAACTTGCGAGATTCTTGAATTCATCACCACAGCACTCACTCGGCGCTTGTTCAACAACACGTGGAGAGTTGGCGTATTTGAGTTGCATAGCGAAGGAGGACACACTCCTATGAGGGTCTCTCAGAGGAACGTCACTGCCCAAGTTATGCTCCTACGAAAGGAAAAGACGCAATGCAAGCACAATGAGCAACCCTACAAAACTGAATTAATTTTAATCTAAACCCTAGATCGATCTTGTGTACAGTAGTGAATCAGAACAGTGACTGAGAAATCAAATATAGAGGTAGAAATAGAATTAATTACCTTGAGAACCAGTTTGCGGGTTTCGCGGTCGAGAAGAGCGAGGCTCCGAGCGAGTGGGAGAAGGTGTGAACGGAGGTTGGATGCGTTTGGGACGCCGGTGACGGCGAGGAGGCCTGGCCCACTGGGCCCTAGGGCTTCCATTATGGAATCCACTTTGGTTGAACTTGAAGGTGAACATAAGTCTTCATAGTCAACCTCGTATAGATCTATCATCTCTGCTTCCTCCATCTCCATTTCGCAGTAGCAGAGACAAATTGATGATAGCTTGATGACTATTTAACTACATGCTTTGAAGTTAATGATTCGTGTATTCAATGTTCTTTAAAATTACTTTTTTCATTTTCAAGTTAATTCATTTTAAAAGTCTACGAAAACATGATTTGTACCATCTTTTTTAATAATCAGATTTTTTTTTATAATAAAATCCCATCATAAGTATTTATACGAATCCTTGTTAATACATCCTTGAAATTTTATGTAAATAAGCTTGCAACGGTGAAATTTTTCGGGAAGAAAAAAAAAAGGTAAACATTCTTGTTTTGACATGATGACTAAGAAAATGCAAATGTTGTAAACTAGAAAAATAAGGATAAGAACATAATCCGATTAAAGAAGCTAAGCTACTCTTAGAATTATAACGACATATATAGTTCTACATTAAGTTACACTGTTGTTAATGATCATAAGTGCGTCAGAAATCCTAAGACAACAGTTTCTTTGAACCTTAGTCAACAAGTTGTTTCCCTCGGAGAAATTTCAGGCCCGAATGGCTTCAACACCCATGGCTCTTCAAATTTCTGCTGTTGTAGGAGCTGTGCACTGAACTTGGGCAGACTCTTCAATAACACCCTTTTTGTTTTGACCTACTAGTGAGAAAATTAACTTCAAACTACTTGTGCAAGTGCTGCGGAGTGCAGCATGTCAGACAATGCTAATGATGTCAACTAGAACAATAAGATTAGAAGCTAAGCTACATATCAAATTACATAGTAATACATAAATATACATCGTTGTTAACGATCTAAAACTGCATCAGGAAAGTGAAACCTTTTAGACCGCAGTTTCCTTGAAGCTCTTAGCCAACCAAATAGCTGTTTCCCTCGGGGAAACCTTCTCGGGACCGAATGGCTTCAGCAACACCCCAAGTTCATCAAATCTCTGTTGCTGTAGGAGCCGTGCAGAGAACTCAAGCAAACCCTCCAATGCCTCCGCACGTTGCTGGTAAGATGAGGTATCAAACCTGCGCTGGTGGGACTCGGCCGAGGAGTGGCTTGAAACAGCATGTTCGGAGAATTCCTTGATATGTGAAACTGGAGCAGTAGGACAGGCTTCACTGCCACCAGAAGGGACACTGGTTTTGTCCACAACTTCGATTGTACACTTGTCCTTCATAATTGAGCGATCAGCGCTCTTTGGGGAACCAGAAGAGCACTGAGCCGAGGTTGATGAAGTTCCACGGACAGGGAAGAGAGAATCCTCGCAAGAGGTCAGGGGGAATTCAGCAATCTTGTCAATTCGTGGTGCATTAACAGAAATGTCAGGAGAGTCCACACCTCGAAGAAGACCAACATTAGCTCTATAAGGGGTGATCGTGCCCATGGCTCTGGTAGGCAGCGGAAGGGAAGCTCTGCGAGTTGATGGGGTAAGTTTACCACCTGGAGTGGACGATGCTGGAAGCTGAAATGACAAGCATACAAATAAATTGATATACACCCTGGATTCCTCAGTAACATAAATATGCTCCATTAATTCATCATATAATGGCGTTTAACATTGATAATATAGGACGTCCCTACATGTATTGACACATGCATGCATGCTGAACACAAATGCATCATATATGATATATTGATACCATATGACATGAATCAAATGCTAGTTCAGGTTGAGAAGTTAATTCAATCATCTCAGTACAGTCAAATTATATTTTCTTTCCATATTTCTCCAGTCATCAAGATAAACGGAAGTACTGATAAGTGTAGAACTTGAACTTACTAACTCACGCTTGAAACCAGTGTGGGATATCTTTGATGATATTGTCTGCCGTTGGGGGGTGGCATATTCCTTACCTGCTCTCAATCTCGGCACCCTATCAGGGACACAGCCAACAGATAGTTCATAGTACTTCTCTTTTGAACAAGTAGAGAACCCCAGTGCTCTTTGAGTAGAACACAGAGAACCCAGTTCAGTTCCAGAAATACTAGGATTCAAGGCCCTGTCATTGCTGAATGACAATCGTTTATCTCTGTCAGAAAGAGTAGAAACAGATTCTGGCTCTACAAACTGAGTCCTCCTTATGTAGTTTGAGTCAGACCATCGGAATGGATAAGTACTTCTTCTGGGGTTATTTAATTTCAAGTGAATTTTAAGAATGTAAGGTTGAAGATGCGGATGATTTAGTAACTCTGCAGCCTGCCAAAACAAATTGCACTTGATTTGTGTTGAATAATTTCACCAAAATAAAGTTAACCATGCAAAATTTGTATAAACTAAGTATACAGTGGTCTTCAGTGTGCAAGGAAGAAATTTATTCAAATTAAATTGTTTAACATTTAATATTTCAACAAAAAAGACATTGATGTATTTTATAGGAAAAAAAACAGATGTAAAATTAAGCTGGCAACAATGAGTCAATGACAATGATGACAAAAAGAAAAATAAGGAATTAGAATTATATTTTTCTTCAGTGCAGCAGCATAGATGGAGAAAACAAAAGTTATAGGTTGGTATTACCTAAATTCCTTCATTTATATAATTACAAAATCAACAAAGTTACTGCATCTAAAGGTATGCTCAAAATGAAAACCTAACAAGTGGTTCTATAAGAAGTCTCTTGACAGGCATGTTAAGAAGAGTAAAATAAACATAAGTTCTTGAAATCCTATAGATTTTTTCACGACTCATTACACATTTTCCAGAAGCGAAGCCTTTGAGAAACTTAACTAGAAAATGGCTTATCACAATATACATGGAGCTTGAAGAGTACTATGATATTAATAATAGAACCTGAGAAAGAAACACTAAGGAATCAATCAAGAAAAATTGCTTCACTACCTCATACCACATAAGGTGAAGAGCTAAAAGCCAAAAATATATAATTAAAAAAGTTGCAAAAGCAAAAACAAAATGAGACCACTAAATCCAAAGCTGCATATGAACTTTCAGCTGTAATGATGACATCTGGCACTTATTTATCACTCAAAAACAATGCCATGTACAGACATGGACAACAATATCCGTATACAATTATCTATATAGACTAGTTTTATTCGACCAATCCACATCTTGACAAATACAAAGAAATACTCTAGAGAAAACATACACTTGGCCTAAGCTCTGGATTTTTCCGCAGCATACTCTTAACAAGCCCTCGACTGAAAAAAGAAACAGACGTATTACATTAAGTTACACAGATCATATCACTTAATGGGGCAAATAAAATGAGCAGAAAAAATGATAAGTAACTGTACAAAGATCAAGAACATGAGTCAATAAGAAACATCCAAATCTGGCCACCTAGGAATTGAAATTAGACCCAATCTCTCAATTGAAGAATTGGTTATTGAGTTGGATTTTGAGGAATTTCACCACAGTTGTTGAGATTATAAGAATACTTAATAATTGTGTGATGTCATAAACTTCTCATACTCGATGCTTGTTAACACCTTAGGAATTAGGGTTCTTGGTTAAAACAATGAAGTTAAATCTCAAGGAATTGAATCTAGCCTAGAGTAGTGAATTTGATTTTCAATTTGACTGGTCATCACTTAAATTGAGAGCTGAACCAAATTGCTTGAGAGGAGGATAGAGAGGAATTATCCCTAACCACTAGTACTTATTGTTGTTATTCTAATTGTTATTCTGACCCGTTGTGTTCTATGTTTTGCTTTTCTATTATTATGCTATTCTATTTTCCCTTTGAAACCATTCAACGGAATTATGGACTACAACCCTTTTTCCCAGTTATCAGTTCAAAGAGTGATAACTTTTGATTTGGCACTTGGATCCAATTCTCAAGGGAATGACACTTTATGCTTTAACTTTATTACTTGATAATGGCTGGTGCACTTCCAAATGTTTCCCTATAAACAGATACAGATTCTAAAGAAATAAAGATTACTAGGAAATAGATGGCTTACAAAGAACCAGAATACACTGTTGGTAGTGGAGCCACTAAAGATTTGTTTATTTTGTTGATCAAAGCTTGCATATCCTGCTCAGATAGAAGATCAAAAAAAGGAACGATTACATGTTGCATTCAGTGTTCCAAAATGTAATAGCTCGAACATCATCATGGACATTAATGATGCAACATAATACTTCATTTTTCAAATGAATTATTCACATTCCCATCAACTTACCCTTCTTAATTAAAAACATTTTGCAAATAAGGTTTCATAAAAAAAAAAAAAAAAAAAAAAACTGCCAGCAACAGACAGAAACTTACAAGAGCTTTAAAAGCTGGCTTGTGAGCAGCCATTTCATACACACAGCATCCTGACAATTGTTGCAAGTTATAACCAGCATCAATTTCAATTGAAAAAACACTGGAAGATGGGAAAGGAAGCAGTAATTAAGCCAGTGATCTCATGTATACAAAATAAATCTATCTTACCCAAAGACCAGATATCTGACTTAGAGCCATAGGGTATATCAGCAAGAAGCTCTGGGCACATATAACTCGGAGTTCCCACAACCTTAGCTTAGAGCAAGAACACACAGTAAGATATCAAGTGAGGGTGATTGTGATCAAGAGAATATCTTTGCTATAACACTCACCGAGGAAGCAAGATCATCACATGTCAACATTTTAGCAAGACCAAAGTCACCTGCATCCAACATACATGGCATTAAGTATGGGATACTAAAACAAGCCACAACTTAAAGATGTTCAGACTCCAAACACATTCATAAAGTGTAAGTGCTGTTTGAGGATAAAATGAAAAAAGCCATTACCTAGACGTATATCTTGATCTTTTGTCAAGAATATATTTGAACACTGAAAACAATGTAGATAAAACATCAATATAAAGTGGGTCCTCGATGATTTCAGATACCCAGCTATATAACATCTTAAGCAATTGAAAATAGAGAAATCACCACCTTGACATCACGATGAAGAATGTGATTTGCATGCAAGTAATCAAGTGCCATCAGCAGTTGAACCAGCCACTTACAGAGCCTCTGTATGCAAAAGTTCATAGATATTAATTAGTTAAGTCCCATAAAACTTTCACATTGGAATGAAAAATATTCATGCCAGACTCAAAAGTAAAAAGAATTGCTATGACAGCGACCAACCTCTTCAGGAAAAAGAACGCCATTGGCCTTTTTAATAGCTTCCGTCCTGTACAACAAAGGAATAATAGAAAGGCAACATAATCAGCAATTAAAAGATAAAATGTCTTCATATATGTTCTGAGTTCCTCAAACACTTGAATTTAATTAAATCACGACTTACATATCTCCTCCTTCACAATAGCCAATGACGATACATACAAAACAACCCTGGAAGTTCAGGTACCAGTTTGCAAATTTCAGAAATAAAAATTAACCAATAATCATAAACTCATTCTGCGTTACAAAAAAGAGGCTCCACTATCAAAATCATCATTAATACGATAAAAGTTCATCATTTATAAAGAAATAAGCTAATAAAATATCATTAAACTTTTCCAATCCAAAATAAACCACCTTTGTGAAACACAAACCAAAATTTAGACTCTTGGAACTCTTAACAAGACAAGCAAATAAAAAAAAATAAAAAAATTTTGATTTTTTTTCCCTTTAAAAGCTGACCTTTTCAACCCAGGAATCTTTATACTCCACGATAAATGGATTTCGAACTTTAGAGATTAGCTCCATCTGCAAGTTGCAAAACAAGGAATAAAATAAAAAATAAAATAAAAAGCATCTCAGAATCTTTAGCATTAGAAACACAAGACAAGAGACATGTCCCGTTCCACATTCTAAAACATAAACCAACAAATAGAAAGTAATGTGAACTCAAAATAGCACACTGGGTGGACCATGTCCACGACAAAAAAAAAAAAATAATACAAATTCAAATGGCCTATAAAATAACATAAACCATAAAACCTAATGCTATAGACAAACGTCATATTCTGAAGCTGAAAAAAAAAAAAAACAGAAGGGTGTTAGTAATAGTATTACCTCCTGGTGAGCAGATCTACGGATTCTATCAGTCTGGCGAGCAAGCCGAATCTTCTTAAGGACATACCTAATTTTGAATAGACAGAAAAATGATATATGAAGGTATTGATGAGTCGAACATGAACATAAGGAAACATAGTAGAGTGAGTGGGTTCACTTCTTGTTTTCGTGTTTGTGTCTGACTAGCAAAGCAGAAGCGAAGGAGCCTCTTCCAATCTGTTCTAGAATCTCATACTGCTCCATTTTCACTTCAAGACAACATTGAGAGGAAGGAAATAAGAAAGAGGAAGTAAATGCAGGAGCAGAAAAGGAGCGTTAGGCCACCTTACCTATCTCGTGCTCTTATTTATTTTTTTTGTGTTTCTTGTTGGGTCCTTTTCACATAATACACTTTTGGACTTTGACTCTCCTATGTTCATGTTCTTATTTGAATTCATTTCTTTTCAGCTTTCCTTTTTCAGTTTTCCTTTCCATTTTTTTCTTTTCTTCTGCCCTTCTCAAATATCCATTACCCACATTTTATCTCATGCACCCAATTTAAATAAAAGTATAAAATATTAATGCGGGTGGGTCGAGGAATTAGATTTGCCATTACAGAATTCAACAACTCGCAAAAACCCTACCTTTCTTCTATTATTTATTCCTTCCATTTTCAACTTCACTATTTTTTCATTAAATTATTGCTTTGACTAAACTGCTACGTTAGTTCAAGTGTAACGTTTGCTGTTATATACCAGTACATAAAATTAACAAATTTTTCAATACATTTCTTAAATTTTAATACTTTAAGTTTTAAAAATTACTCTCTTTTTTATTTTCTAAATATGTATTAGCATTCTATTCATCCTTTCCCTTGCTCTGCGTTTAGAAAGAAAGGGAAAAAAGTATGGGAAAAAAAATGAAAGAAAGTCGAAAATCTAGTGCATTTGGAAAAATGTAATAAAAAGGGAATAAGTAGAATATAAACTTAATGAACTTCTCCCATGATATGCAGAGGGGATGGGCACTGATCTTGTAGTAAAGAAACCAATAAGATCAAAATATCCTATCTATGAAGCACTGATTTTGAGGAGAATACTACACATCATATATAGATACAAATATTGAGACAACACTAGCATCCAAAATGTAAGACACAAAGATACCACACAAAATGAAATTTATAACTTAAAAAGTTAAAATAATAAAAAAATTATTATAAAAAAAAAGTTTTACTATAGATAAAATAAAATATTAAGAATCATACAATATTTATAAATAAGTTAATTTTTTTAATTTTTTATAAGAGTGTTAAATAAGTGTTTAATTAAAAGTAAATGTTAATAACTTACTATCTTAACTCATGTCCAAGTCTTGTCGAAAAAATGTTAAAATTCTATTAGAAAGATGTCTAAATAAAAAAAAATTATAATTTTTAATTGTAACAAAAGTATCATATATATGTGTGTGTATGTGTGTGTCAAAACTCATATGATAAATATTATGTCTGAAATGTGTTAGATACATTAATACAATATTTTATAGATATGTCAGGACTTCATAACCTTTATTATTGGTGATAAAAGAGTGTACATTTTTTGTTTCTCTTCTTAGTATAGATAAATGTGTAGTTCAAACTCCCTTGTTTGCTTATTTTCTTAGATCAACATTTTCCCCTCCTTTAAATTTGGTTCATTTTTAACCCTTATTAATAGATTTAAATATATAGGTGTAATGAATTTCGAGCTTTGATGGAATGAAACTCTTTGTCATGGCATAAAATATATTTAACAAATCATACATCTCAATGTTCTAATTAAAAAAATATTTTTTTTTCAAAGAAACTGAACAAAAAAAAACATGTTTTATATATTTCATGATGCATTCAACATCTTATTGAAATTCATATTATTGATTATGCGTGTGACATAGACAATTATATGTGAACTTGTTGCTTTCTATCATAATTTTTTTTGTTTGCATAATTGATTATATGTTACATATAATTGATTATGTCAACCTATAACTTTTTTTTTCTTCTTTTTTATATCATGAGAACCTAAAATTAAAAAAAAAAACAAAATTTAAATAATGTGTATTATTTGGCATAAAATGGTAAATGTATTTATAATATTCAATTACTATAGTTTTTTAATTTAAAAAATACAATTTAAGAAATTCATTTCTCTTCTATTTTTCTTGTATCAAATAAGTTAAATTTTTACTTTCTTTTTTTTGCACACTTTCAATTTTAGAGAATAAAATAAAAGAATAGTGGATAGAAATTAGTACGACTTGTCCATTGTTTGATTTTACACAAAAAAATTAAAAATGAAAATGAGACATATAATGTTGAAATGTGAAATTTTTATTGTTTATTTGAATGAAAAAATTTCAATGAACTAATTTTCTTTTCACATGTCAAAAGAAAAAAACTTACTTTTTATTTATCATGAAAATAAATGATAACAACATATTATCTAAAACATTATTTTAAACACAATTTTGTTGATTGAAATTTATTAAAAATATATAAATTTGTGTAAGTCTCACCATTTGTATAATTTCATTTTTAATTTTATAATTTTTAATAAATTTTAACCAATAATATAAAATGTATTCTAAAGAACTAGAGGTGTCAATGTGAATTATAACCTACGAGCTAACTCCACCTAATCTAACTTGTGGACTAATCGAATTGTAAAAAGTATTGCCTTACTTTTTTTTTCTTCATTTACTTAATTTGTGGGTTATAGTGAGTAAATTGGGATGAGTTGGATTAACTCATATAAATTTGTTTTAATTATTATTTTTGTTTTAAATTTCCTTTAACATTTTCATTTTTTTACTGTTTTAATCTTTTTTATTATGAGTTAAAGTGTGTTTAATAAGATATTTGAAGAGTTTATAAGTTTCTTTAACTTGTTTTATAAGTTAATTTGATCAAAATAAGTTTGTTTGATAAGAAAACTTATTTTAGAACTTATATCTTATTTCATTAGTTAATTGAAGTAGTTTAGAACTTATAAAATTATAATTTTTTTTTTCTCTTTCTTTTTTTTTTATCATTGTTAATTCACTTAAAATTTTGTTTACCCTTTTTTAAAAAGATTACTTTTCTACATGTTATTCTATCACTCTCATAACCAATATAAAAAAGTATGTTATTTACACTATTCAACTAATTAATCTACTATATTTATCATACACTTTTAATTCAATTAGTTAACTTTTAAGCTTTCAACTTATAGTGGATAACTTACAAGCTTTCATGAAGCTTATAAACTGTTTTTTTTTTCAAACACACCCTTAGTACTTTGTTGACTTTGTTTTATTTATGTTTTCTACGTTCTTCTTGTATTTTCTATTTTTTTATTAGGCGAGTCAACTTACGAGTCAACTTACGAGTCAACTTACGAGTCAACTCATGAGTCAACCCACTAACCTATGATGGTTTGAGTAAAATTGTGTATTTTTTGGTTCATAAAGAAGTGAGTCGAATTAAGTTGATTCACTTCAACATCTATAAAAAAAAATGCATTAGAGAATATAAAATTAACACTTTTATTTATATTGAATTTCGAGGAAATGATATATCATGTTTTCAACTTTCTTTTAGTCATTAGGAATTTAAATTGATTTCTTCTTCTTTTAGTCATTAGAAATGCATTAGGAATTTTAATATATATATATATATATATATATATATATATATATAAAA